GCGGAGGTTATCATTCAACGACAAAATACGCAGTCGTGAAACGTCTTCACTCGGGAGGTACTCCGCGAGAAATACAATGTTGGTTGACCTAAGACGGCAGAATCGGTGTGAAAAAATTATCGTCATCTCGGTCCTCGCTGGAGCTTTTGTATTTCATAACAGAAAAAAATGCTCGAAATTTTTCTTCGAAAATTTCTATTTTTACTATTTTCTTTTACCGTGTCTGTGAAAAAACTTTTTCCATAATGAAATACCCAAATTTTATTAAAAAATTATCAGAATTTATTTGAATTGCGTAAATGTTAGCAAAAAATAAATAATAATTCCGTCGTAATCAGAAAAAATTTCCTAACCCACCGAATCACCAAAAAAATCTATAGAAAAAATATTCCGAAAATTTTAATCATTTCCGACTACACTACGGAATGGTGAACAAAATTGCAAAAATGGAAATTTTTGCAAAAAAAAATTCAAAATACCGGTCACCATTTCCCAAGAAATTTCAGATTTTTTTCAGAATTTCCCAAAACCTAATACCACCTCGGAGGCACCGCAAGCGCCGTAATTTCAACAGCCGAAAACTTCGCGTTTTCACTTATTGATTCCTGCTTGAGCCGCTTTATAGGAATACTCGGGGACACCGCAAGGGGACGAGAAGCCTTACAGTCGTATAGAACCTTTGAAAAAAATATGTATATGGTGTTGGTGAAAATATGAAAATTTTTTAGGAAATTATTGTTGGTTTTTAAATATTTCTACTCTAAGTCGTGTGTGAATTTACTATAACATAGTTTGGAAACTTCTGAGCTCAACTGAGAAAAGCAAATATATATTCCAACGATACGTATTAATAAGGATTTTGTATTGTGGGAAAATATGTGAAATTCTGGGGAAATTTTTGAAAATTGTAAACCGAAATTTATATTCCTCCAACAACAATTACAATGCGTTATTCGAAATTCATCTCTACTTACTATGTTTGCTCCCGAAACGTAAATAACACTATCCTCATCGACGGCGATGAAGTTGCTTCGACAAGGGCGGCTCGCGAGGCCGACAGCATCGTGAACGATGAAAGGAGAGGTAGCCATTGATCGTCTGTAATATTCAGAGAATATACTTCTACCCGAATTTTATGTAAACTCCTGAGCTCGAGAAATACGAGAAAAACATGGTTGATCATACCGAGAGTAATTGACACTAGTCAAACGCAAGAGTAAACTACTTCAAGGAGTTTCCTATACAGTGTTGGAGTAGGAATATATGTAATCGCTTTCCTCACCTGCTGAGCTCAGGAGTTTCCTATACAGTGTTGGAGTAGGAATATATGTAGTCGCTTTCCTCAGCTGCTGAGCTCAGGAGTTTCCTATACAGTGTTGGAGTAGGAATATATGTATTCGCTTTCCTCAGCTGCTGAGCTCAGGAGTTTCCTATACAGTGTTGAAGTAGGAATATATGTAATCGCTTTCCTCAGCTGCTGAGCTCAGGAGTTTCCTATACAGTGTTGGAGTAGGAATATATGTAATCGCTTTCCTCAGCTACTGAGCTCAGGAGTTTTCTATACAGTGTTGGAGTAGGAATATATGTAATCGCTTTCCTCAGTTGAATTCGTAGGAATTCGGGTAGAAGTATATAGAAACCAATAAGAATTTTCATACTGTCACCAACACCCACAATACAAAATCCTTATTACTACGTATCGTAGGAATATATATTTGCTTTCCTCAGTATCATCAATTCATACACGAGTTTTTGGGTAGAAGTAATCGAGAACCGTAAAAAAATTTCCCCAAAAAATTTCCATATTTTCCCTGGGAAAATATGGAAATTTTTTGTCATGGGAAATTTCCCATAACATTGACATAACTCAACACTATCATATTTCTGGTGAATTCGAAATTAACAAAATTACGTTTATTAATAAAAATATAAATACCACAAATTATTACACCTAGCACATAGCAAAAGCATAAACAAAAAAATCATAACTTTTTTTCCAACCCATACCGCTCCTCGAAAAACTCCTCCATGTCCTTCATCACAGCCATGAGCTCTTTTTGGGCGATACCGACACTTTCAACACTTCGCATCTCCGAAAAATACTCCAATTTTTTCCCGCAACTTCTGAGAGTTACCGCCAAGCCGTTTGCAAAATACAATGTAATAATATCACATTCAGAAACGACCGGGAAGGAACTTTTACCGCTACTCCCACGAGTGTCGATGCCGCGGGTAAAATCACGCACATGGGAAATTTTAGAATTCCCCAAAATGTCCATATATTTACCACCACTTCGTAGATCTTCAAAAATTTTCCCAAGCTCGGTAGAGTGATGAGGATTGTAATAATAGCCATTATCACGAACATAATAACCAATAGTCTGCTGGAGTTGATCGAGCCTTTGCTTCATCGTAATCTTCTTATTTACTCTCCAAAAATTCGCCATTTCGCACCAGACCGCCGCAGCAGAAACTCCATCACTATCGGGTACCGTCAAAGTCAATGCGAATTCATTAGATTCATCATAAGCGAGGCAATGCACCCAATCAGGATCGTCATTAACCAGCTTGATAGAAGTACTGGTGAGGTGGTTGAAACCGGGAAGAGTCTCCACGTACCGACAACAGTAATATCTACATAACCCTGCTAGCATTCTCGAGCTGAAAATTGTTGATAATAGTAGACAATTTTCAGCAGGGACACCTCGGTTGCGTGCCATAAGTAATTGCCAATCGCCAAGTAGGAGACCAACTTCATCACCACTGAAATTAAACCAACTCCCATTTTGTTGCTTTTCACTTACCGTGAAGACAGTATCATCGGAATTGTTGTTGATAATGTAGTCGACATCATCAGAGTTCTCACGCTCCACGACTGAGTTCTTTGGGAAGCCAAATTTCGATAGTAGTTGTAAACCAACAAGACCATGCATAGTAGTATTATATACAAACCGTAGCTTGCACTTGCTGTTCAGAACGAAATAACGACATAATTCTCTGCTGATTTGATCGGTATAGGAGACCACAATATCATCATCAGAACACAGATTGCCGTCAGCAGTATCATCGAGTGACTCTTCCCAGGGTGTCGAATCAACTCTATCAAGGATCAGTTTTTCAATACATGGAAGAATCTGAGCTCCACCACTACTGTAAATTTTATACCCACTCGTAGCCGAGATTTGGACCCCGCAGAGGTAGTCGTCTCTTTTTACGAGAAAAGAAGTTAACGGAGACGCTTTTAGAATAAAATGCACTTTGACATTTTTCGATGAGAACACAGCAGCGACAACTTTTGCGAACTTCTGGTTATCATGGTCGTAAGCAACAACAACTCCTTGTTCGTGAAGTGCTTGCTGCCCACACGTATCACATAGATAAATATAAAGACCTTTAGTAGTCCTCATAACAGTCTGGAAGTCCATTCGGTCAATTCCAACAGCAGAAGCAGGATGGTGAATACAGTCTGCTCGGGAGCACTTGGGAACCTCCTCTCGAGTGATGTCGTCAAAGTAGAGTGCCTGCGAGTTTTCAATTGGAGTCGACATATTTGAGAATACCTAAAATGTGTACAAGTTGACAGTAAGAATTTTCCTGTAGAAAATTGATTTCTG